TTCTCTCTGCTATTCTTATAAACCATGTGTGTATATGCCAACATCTCAACATGTTTTATGATCTTAATTGAAGCCTTTTTTTTTAACTCTATTTCTGTGGAAGAATAAAATTTGATTGTTAGGCTCTTGGAAATTATGCTATACATCACATTCTGTGAAGCTAACATTTAATACTATTTAAAACGAAACCGATTGGCTAGTGATAAATTAAAATGATGTTATCTAACGATATTTTACGGTAATTTGGGGAATGGGTACCTTGTTCTATCAGATGGATATATAAACTGTGGCATGTATGAATAGGAAATATCATTCCTTGTTCTTAGCTTGAGCACATCTAAGGAGTAAGATAAATGGCATTTAAAGATAGTGTTTTGCCTTGCTCTGCCATGCCAAGGTTGAATATACATCTTGTGCTTCTTTGGTGTGTGCAGGATAAAAATGCTTTTGCAGATATCGTAAAGAGAATCTCCAAGAGATACAGAAGACTTCAAATACCAACTATCTTATATTGAGGTGACAGTGTATGACCCCGCTGGACGATGCTGCAATGCAATAGAAAGTTAGCACCATATGGGTGACATGTGTTATTTATCGCACTCTGCCGTGTTAGTTGTCACATCCGAATACTATATGACGAGATTAGATTATTTGGAATCATTTATAATACATTACAGTATTTTACTCTTAGAATATTAAAACAAAAGCAATTTGACCGAAGCGAAGCAAAAGAAAAAGAGTTGTCTTATAAACAAATTCAACCTTTTCCCTCATCACAAGAGTAAGACTTTTGGATATTTAATAGTGGTGGATACTAAATGTAGTAAAGCACAATAAAACAAGTAAAATGGAACAGAATGAAATAAAATTAAAATTGTCACTATTATTTTAAATACTTTATACTACGAAGAAGAATAAAAACACAACCCCATTGTTTGAAAAATAGATAGAATAAAACGACTTATAACTTTAGTCATCTAATAAGTAGTGTCCAAAACCATGGGACAGCAAACATTTACTGAGAAAAAGATGAAAAAATTGTAAGGAAAATGATATACATGCCACCCATTTTTTTTATAAGTTTTTTTTTTTTTACTTCTAAATACTTTTTTAACTACTCTTTTTAAAATATTTCTTAAATATTCTTTTAATTAATTCTCTTTTTCAAATAAAATTTATATATAAAACTCTTTTATTTGCTTTATCTTTCACTACTCTTTTTTCATTACTTTATCTCTCTTTAATCATTCGATTTTTCATTTTTTTTTTCATTTTCATTTCTCTCTTTGATAATTATGATAGTTATGTCTTATCTTTATTATTTTTCAGACTTTATATTTGGATTCCCAACTTCAACATTCTTTAAATCTTACTTTTGTCATTTTATATTCATTATTCTCTACATTGAATTCAAGATACAAATGAAAGTATTAAATTATATTTTCTATAGACAATTCTATGTGATTTATTTAAAATGACTTATATGTAACAACGATTGATATCTTTGGTAATTATCCATGTAAAAAAGATGAAAATTGGTGGATTTTTTTAAAAAGATCTCCATTACAAGATACACATGAATTCAATATTTAATATTATTGGAAAGTAATTTGAATGTATAAATTAGAATTTGAATATGCATATAAATGTCTTCAGAAATGCATTTGACAAAAAAAAAACCAGGAATAATAATAATTTACATACTATCTTATTATAAAAAAAATACATTATATTGTGGTCTTATACAAATTATGATTAATGTTAATTTATTTTTTTTTTAATATGATTATCGTTCATTATTTACTTCATTTAGTGTACTGTTAATGACAAAATTAGATTAAAATAAGTATGGTTTATAACCAAACTAAATATTTAGGGTTAAAATGATTAGTCTCGTAATCACTATAAGAAATGGAATATTGTTATAGATAAAATTAGCCGGTAGCATGCACACAAGTATGTTTATTATCACCACTTAAAACATATTTTTTAAAATGCATCGTAGATACCCCACAGAATTTAAATCAACGGACAAAATTATTGCCCTCGTAACCCCCCAAAAACAAATTGGCCTCTTACGGGAATGTGGATTTCGCAACTGCGTATACAATATTTCCCTTAGAACTTGTTCAGTAGGTGATTGAGCCATACTTTCAGCGAAATTTTATCCCTTCCTCTTTAAATTCTATGTAGCAGTTAACTGGAAACACATACAGTTGTGGAAGACGCAAACGTTAACTTAACAGATTAAACGGTCACTATCCTTGGAATTTCAAAGCAATATGTTGTTGTGTAACGTGCGTGCTTCAAATTTTGGAAGAGACAGAGACATGAGGAAGAACATCCACTGCGAGTCTGATAAGGGGTTCCTCTTCAGAAGAGTCAAATGAATATTCTCTGCAGATTGAAGAGAAAAAGGAGCCTTCACTTTCACTGCTATAATAATATGGTTCCTTCTCCTCTGGCGAACTAGGCTCATCTGGTGAATAAAATGTGACAACATGAGGAAGCTTAAACCTCACTTTCTTCTGTGAACGTGATTTCCCAATTGATGACATTTCTTCACGTTCTTCATCACGCTTCTTCATGGGTCTTTCCAAACATAAACTGTCTTTGGCTTCTGCTATCAAAGGGTGCACCTTTTTCTTGAATTGCTTGCATGCATACACGTATTCTGGCTTCAAACCAGGAGAAGCTAATATCCAATCTTCTAGAGTCACTTTTGGAACCACCTTCTTCTCTCCTCTCTCCAACTCCATCTTTTGTTTCAAAATCATGCAAAAGCTTTTTGGGTCTTCTTTTTTCAGATTGGTGCCATCTCTAGCCCTTGGTGATTTGGAGTTTTCGTCTGATACTAGGCCACACATAACGCACAGCTTAGCGCCCATTATGATGTAAGAATTCAAAAGAATGAATATGAAAGAGATTCGAGAGAAGTAAAGGGGAAGAATATAATGAGATTAGTGAGCTGATTCATCAGTATCTTTGCAAGTTTTTAAGGGGGTTATGAGACGGAGAGGCCTAAAGCAAGAAATGGATCTTCACGATCATAATTGCCTCTTGGTTATTATCAGCTAGCGTTGTATTTTTCTAAATACTCCAAAGTTAGGGTTATTGGACGTATGTTTGATACTTGGAATTAATTTGACTTCGTTTTTTATGGGTCTAAGTTTTATTTTGGGGGTTAGCATTGCCATACGAGGACAACAGAAACGATAGTTTCTATTATTTATGTTCAGGATTACAAGAAGACAGTGTCTAGGTTGATCCTCCATCTGAGAAGCTAGATGGATTCTAGTTCTGACAAAAATCTGGTGTTAAAAATGATGATGGATAAACGCAAAAGGACAGAGATGCCAACAAGAAATGGGCTATCCATTTTTGTTGTTATTGTCTGCCATTGCTATGCTGGATAACCTAATTTTAGTCCCTCTCTCAATCTTATAGACATTTATTTATTTTAATTATTATAATGACATAGTGTACCTTGCAAATTGATATGCCATTAATTATACAACATTTACGTAATGACGTATTACCAAGAAATATCCAAACGAGGATTTATTAACTCGTTAGCTTCACTCCCTATTCAAGACCGAGTCCCACACCTTGTTAGAAATAGGAAGGGATGTGTGTGTTTAATCACTCTTTCACACTCCTATTAACATTATTTTAAATATAATGATATATTACCAAGCAATATCCAAACACTATGCGTTCGCCGTTCACCTAGTTATGCAACAAAAAAAAAAAAAAAAAAACAATACTATCGTAATAATTTAAATATTATCTATGGTCCTAATTTATAAATTCAAAGTTGTAAACAATTAATAACTAAACATACATTTATCAAAAGAATGACTAAATGTACCAGGAATTATCCTCATAAGCAAATATGCAATGGAAAAAATGGATTAACAATTGTTGGGCCATACAGAAACAAACTCAACCTGGTTTATCCCATTGGTCCGTCAAGTTGGACTTTACCGGGTCATTCTATTTTTTAATATTTTTATATGTAATTTAAAAGGAAATTTTTTATAAAATATATATTGGACCAAGTAAGCTTATTCTTTTTAAGCTTAGATTTTACTAGTTGCCTTAACCTGTTTGATTGGTCAGCCAAGGCTCGAATCAAAAACTAGAGCTCAGTTTGCTCTATTTCAACAATCCAATGACTCAGTTCGAAAGACCATATAATTTTAACTCCTATAATTACAGTGAAACAGCAGAGATTCAAGAGAATCAGAAAAATTAAAGATAAAAGTAAAAGAAAGAGAAAGTTCAAGGAAGATTTACAATAAGAGAAATAAAAATAAAAATAAAAAGTCAATGATTGGTCACTTTTTTATCTATTTTTCTTAAATTATGAGTAAATTTTACCAAAATTGCAGGTAAAAAACCCTAGTTTCAGTCCTGTGAGAAACTTTAACGATAGCCATTTTAAAAGTATATTCATATATGATAAAGTGTGGGGTACACAAATTAAATATACCAGCCCACATTTTTCCTTGTTATTTTGTTTATTGTATATAAACAAACAGTAAAAAATCAACTTGGTAGTTTTAATTCTTGTGGAGTCCGCAATTTAGTTGTTATTCTTCAGCATTAAATTGGACTCCATCAATTATCATGTTTTTCTTCAGATTCTACGCAACTGCATTATAGCATATACACCTATATATGCTATTGCAGTCATGCGTGCTGAAATCCTAAAAATGATTAATCCAAGTATTTTAAAGGTGTACCAACGGGTGCAGATCATATCATATCAACATAAAAATGTTCGTATCACAACGTCATTGTACTCTGCAAATAAGCAAATATCATCCATCTGGGTCACGTATTAATATGTGCAGATAAATTGGAATTTAGCTCCTTTAAAGTAAGTCACGTAGTTAAATGAGAAATTATAACAATTGATTAGAAACTACAGACAACTTTCTTCTTACAGAGATCCCCGGTGAGAAGCAACAGTAAAATGTGCATGACATTTAAAAGCGCTCCAAAACAAGTTAGTAATATACTCAAATGAACGTGAATAGGGTTACACAAGACATTACAAGTAGAATGTGGGGGATTGATTCAACTGGGAGCCCAACAACAACCAGGACGGCAAAATTATGTTTTTGGTTGTCATAATAATTTTAGAGCTAAGGTCTAGGCTCAAGAAAGTACCGACGGGATAATTATGGTACATGTCCTAGTACTACATCGAAATATATAAATAACCAATCATAATTTTCAAGCCAATCTAAACCACAAAAGTGAAAAGGAAAAAAAAAAAAAAAAAACTAAGAAGACACATGGTTTTCTAACAGCTTATCTTGCTAAAATGTATCATCAGAAAGAGGCTTCCTTCTTTTCCCACGAATTTCTGTCACTGGCTTTTTGGTTTCTCAATCTTCACATAAGGTAATGCTCCCATTAAATGAAGAACTTTTGGCGACCACCCCCGCTGTTGAGCCCGGCAAAACATCAAGAATGTGTTGGCAAAGTAGGAATTGAAACCCATGAAGACATGCCACAAAGCATGACCCTGAGGGTTAATAGGCCAACGGGATATCTCCTTGCAGAAAATACGGTCACAGAACCCAAACAAACTGCCAAATAAAAAAGTAACTAGAAATACCGTTGCAAGCCGCTTGGCAGAAACATCTTTAGTGTAAATGTAATACTTGTACATTCTCGGAACGCAGAGGAGAATGAGAATGATATAATGCACTTTGAAGCCAATACCAAAATGAAACACTGAATGGGCAATGGCAAAAGCAGCACCATACACGAAGAGGAAGATGGGCATTGTACTGCGGTAATGCCAATCTGGAGAGTAGAGGATGTACATGTACAGCAGCACCTCCCATACCATAGGAGTTTCATCACTTTGCTGTTGCCTAAATTAAAGCATAACATCTGAACAATAAATAGTCATCCAAAACAAACATACATTGAATTATTGACAAACAAATTAAATAACAAAACAACCCATTTTTACAAGGGACAAAAACTCAGTACTTGAACAGAAAAAAAAAAAACGTTACCAAAGATCAATTCCTAGGGAACAATCAGGCACTTATCAGCAAAAGCAACTGGTCCTGGAATTATTAACCTTCTAGTCTTATTTAAATGTGAAGTTAGCCCCTAATTTAATAAAACTCGTATCACAATAATCCTTCTTATATCTCACTTAAGTCCTTGAGAGTGACTAACTTGACATTAGTTATGTGAATTTAGGAATTAACTCATACATAATTAAATGAAAAAGACTAAACTGCAACTGAAAGTTCGTTATTTACACTTTTACATCAGTGAACACAATGATATTATAATGAGTACACTCAATTAAATTACAATTAAATGGGGGATTGATTACCCAACTTAGATCCCTTTATAAACCTTTTATAGTTTTTGTATCTAAGCCAAATGAAGAAACAACTGCATGGGGTGTTGATAACCCAACATAACTCCTGTTATAAACCCTACCCTTATTGTACCTAAATCAAATTAAGAAACTAATTATTCAATCTAAGTGTCCCTTAAGTGAACACGTTATGTATATAGAAAACTCACAATCTCAATGACGGCAACTAGCTTATTAGTACCAAAATGGTTCAACATTCAACATAATCATCAATTATTTTATAAGACAGCTTCATATTCAGTATTCAAATACCACACTGGAATCTATATCCTTTATCCAAGCAACGAAAAGGATATAAAATCTCATCCACATGCAACCATACAAATAAGTGGGAAAAATAGAGATAAAATCATAATAAGAAAAAACTGTCCACTTAATTTAAATACATTAGTGGCTTGTTAAAATAACTAGGTATAGCATGCTTGGAAATGATTATTCTTTCTGAGGAAATAATTATTTTTTCCTAGAACTCTCTAGTTAATCGTTAATTAAAAAACCTTTGTTGACTCCAAAATAAACTAATCCAAACATTTGTGGCTTGTTATAATAACTAGATACAGCATGCTGAAGTATTTTCGTTCTGTTAGAAATTGTTTAATCATGTTCACCCTCTCCTGTGTCTTTGTATCCCATTTTCTATGTTATCTCTTTCCATGCTTAAATTGGACGGCCACAAAATCTTCAAGGATGGTATTGGCATGCTAATAATATTTGTTATGTTATACATTTCTTTAAGATTAATTAATAAAAATAAAAAGAGATAGATTGACCTGTTGAGTGTTCCAATAATGTCAAATAGCTGCCATGACAGCATCACCCACCACGGTATGGACAAAATTGAGCAAACCACCACCATACATGAATGGCGTTGCAGAATCTGGCGTTGCAGAATCTGGCGTCATGTAGTTATGAGGATCCAAGGTAAAAAAGGCAGATTGGGCACTTTTTTAACGGCACTTTTGTTGCATTTTTTAAGAGGGGTTATATGAAAATCACTATAATGTGCAACCACTATCACACTAACAACCTCAACAAACAGAATGAACTCATTCATCTCTAGCAAGTGTGTGAGCTGTCCCACCCATTCCCACTGAATGATCCATCTGTAAATCTGAACAGATCCCATTCTCCATCTGCATGTTCTCTCCTCCCCCACTGTTTTGATCTCTGAATATCTCAAGTAACCTCTCAGGCAATTTATGCCTTCTCCATCTCTGTTGTCTCTGATTCTTTGTTTCTGTTAATTTCTCCAGTATTTTCTACCTCTCCTTACTTATCTTGTTCTCTTTTCCTCTGAGTCTCTGATGATATGTTATCTCTCCCCCGACCCTTCTCCCCTTTCATTTTTGTTTGTGTTGTTATAGTGTAGATTCTAAATCTAAAGCTGTTATGGCAATATCCCTAAAATGTGTGATACTTTAGGTGGATTTTATTTCCTAGAGTATGTTTCAAAGTTGTAGCTATTAATATATGTTATTAGTTTTATTATACATAACATTCAAAAGTGTCCTTAGTATATGCATAGTTTTATTATAGTCACCGTGCTTCCACTATAGGCAAGAATCAGAATCCCCTCCACCATAACTATAAGGTAGATTTTGGTTTCCAGCCATCTACCTATTAACAGGGGTGTTCAGGTTCCCTTTATGATAGTTTGGAATATAGATAAATTTAGTTGCAGAAGTGGGATAAAATTATGAGTAATGTGATTTTTGTGGGGTCAGACCATTGAAGAAAGCAACACTAATTGTCCGCAAATATGAAAAGCAATTGAACCAAATGCAAGTGAAAAGAAGGCCATATTAACAGTGATAAACCAAAAAAAATCCATACTTCTGGCTCAATATTTTCTCATGAAAATGTGGCCAGGGTATGATCACATATCCATTGCAAATACTTCTATAAAATGGCAACCTCATTTTGTATCATGCAAAATAACTTGAAACAAAATAAAACACACCATAAAAGCAAACAGTAATTTATGTAAAAAAACAAGAAAATGATGGAGATACTTACACATTTTGCAGCGTGGCATGGTACAACATGCTTCCAATGGCAAGTGTCATATTTGATACATGAAGAACACTAAATCTTTTCTCGAACCGTTGTCTTAATGCATTTATAAGACCAATCAAAGCCAAAAGTATTGTCGGAATGTTGGATATTGTGTTATAAAATTCAGCAATGTAAGACGAATGAGCATAGTTTACTTCACAACACTCTTTGGTGGATGTGACCGGACCCCAGAAGCTAGATATGGATTCTGCCATTATCCTCTACTGTCTTATGATTGGTTTATCTATATTTCAGAGCTGCAGAATTCAAAAGATCCTGAAAAGTCATTTAACAATAATATAAGACAAGCAGTTCTCAAAGATCACACAGTTGAACATTTTATTTCACAATGAAAGATAAAAGCCTGATAAATGTAGTGGGTCACCAACAGTGTTACAATTTCAGATTGCAAAAAACGGTGATAAGCCAAAAATTCGCTATAATACTGGATAGCATAGTGAACAAGTAGCATGCATATCAGTAGAAATAGAAGACTGAAATGTAAAATTAGTTCCAAATGCAGATACAGATTCGATTCTTATAGCAATGTGTTAAAAATATCAATAGAAAATCTATAAGGATCTATAATTAAGATCACTACATGTAAATTGTTACATAAAATGCTTAAGATAAAAAACAAGAGAAAAACCTCAAAAACCCCTCACAATGGAAACTCCATACTTGAAAGGAGTTACCGAAATAAGGACATACGATTTATATTACAAGCATAAACTTCAGAAGTCTGAATTTGAAGAGGTATTCAGTTTTTAATTAATGCGCACACGGCGCGCCCTTGACTATAGTTCATGCGTCGTTTCAGGAAGAAAAAAAAACAGCAATGCAATTGATTAAATTCAAATGGAACCAAACTCTTTCAATCCTAATAGACGACGACAGTAGGAAAAAAACTCTGAAATGCTAAAGCCGTGATCCATTATCCCTAGATGAAAACGAATTCCGTCTGAAATGTATCAAGTACGGAATCCATAACTATGATTCGTTCACAACAAGTGATAAGCAGAGCGAATCTCCGATCGGAAATGGAAGATTGATTAGAAAGAAAAAAAAACGGCAAAAGAATGTTGAGAGTTTAAAGTGAGAAAGGTGAAGAGAGTAATTAGGTCTAGGGTTAGGGAAACTGATGTGACACAGAAAAAAACCAGAAATAGAAGCAGTTTTGGTGACAGTGTAAAATGTAAATCAAGTGAGGAAGGGAGAGTAAAAAAAAAAATACCTGAAGCCACTAACAGAGGCAATGGCCACCGCAACACACAAGTGGTTGATAATGCGTGCCGTCGAATCTCGAATCACAAATCCGTACAACCCATCGGAACCCAACGACACCAACCCTTGCCCTATGCGATGCGATGCTATGGATTTTGATAGTTTAGTTATGTTTTCTTTCAAGCAGTATTTAAAATTATATAAACGTATCTACGTATATTTTATCCCGGGTCACTAATTATATGGCCCATTTCATTAGGCCTCATTTCGGATGGGGCCGAAATTTTCACGTCAAACAATCCTACCTAAGTTCTTACCCACGACTCAATGCTCTCGTGTTTCAAATTCAAATCGCGTTCCTTGTATTAAACAGATTTCGTATTTTATTTTTAAAATTTTATTAAAATCAATTATAAAATAATATTGAGGACAAAAAACAATAAATAATTGCTTCCTTTTTTCCTATGATTTTGGGATCATAATTGATTCTAGGAAATATCCTAATACCCTATTAGGATCTTGTCTACAATGTATAAACATAAAAGGTAAAAAATGTGTATATTTATTGTTATTTTAAATTAAAATATTCAATAATTGGAATTAAATTTAAATTGGTAATAATTATATTCATGATTTGTTCACTCTATAAATTTACTTGATTTAGAATAAATAAATCTACCTAACAACAGGATGTTATTTGAGAAATTCAATGAAGGAATAACAAGGGATAAACAGGAGGAACTTCAAGTATTTTGTGATATTCAGGCTTATTGAGAGAAAATGCCGTGAATGGAGTGATGGCATACCTTATGTTCTATAGAGTAAATGTTTAAAGAGAGAGGATTTTAATTTTTTTTTTTTTTTAAGCATTGGAGCTCATAGTTCATGGTGATATTGATTTACATCCTTTTCTTGTTATTGTCAATATTCAGTCCTTCAAACAAAGTAACAGGCAACTTAAGTTTAGCTGGTGTGACAAGCAAACAATGTGCTGATATTTTGGCCTGTACAGACTCCTCTTCCAATGATGTTTTTATATATTTCGATGTTTCTGTACCTGATCAGCTTTCATATGCTATTTTGGCTTTTATGTATTAGGGGTGGCTTTCTCTAGATTGTAATCTGCTTCTATTTTTATTTTTCTAACAGAAGCTTTTAATTTCTTAATGATAACAAAGTTAAAATAATTTTTTAAAAAAACTAAAATTAATTTATATAGAAATTAATTTATATAAGTTTTCTTGTATTCAAATTTTTTTTTATTTTCATCCATCGAAAGTATTTTTTTTTTATAAAATTAAATTATTTTATACAGATTTAAAATACATTTAAGTTTTTAGTTATATCTCATATCATTTTTTCTCTTATATACTTATAAATTAAAAATAAAATATAAGACTGTGCTCAAAGGATTTCAACTCCTATTTTTTAATTTTTTTTTATAAATCACATGTATATTTTATAGACTATTTTTTTTTTTAAAAAAAAACTCTCTATCTTAGTATTTGATATAATTAAATGCTCAGAATTTGAATTCTAAGACCATCGATTAACACAAAATGGTTGTACACAAGTCACTCAACAATTACTTCATTGTTTTAAATTGATCATCTTAATTTTTAAGTAATATTACCTCCATTAACTAATGTTTTTTTACTTGGAAAAAATAATTTCTCCATTTTCATACGTGATGAATCAATATACGCAACTCTTTCTTTGTGTTTCTCTAGCATTTTGCTTCATTACTCTGACTTCATGAACTTGGACATTAAAGCTGCTAAAAAAATAAGTGTAGTCAACCGTTTACCAATAACCATCCAATGAGAGGAAGTTGCACATATCTGACATGAATGAGATTTGGGGTTCCAACCCGGAAAGATGACAAAATAAGAGTGTAGATTAGATGGACAACGCTTGAATACATATATATTCAAAGATTGAAAAAAAAAATTGTATATATTGATCATGTAAATTTGTCTGTATCCCAGTCAACAGGTTGAAGTACGTGAAAATCTTGTGCAAATGAAAGATTGCTTGTACATGAAAGTTCTACCAACTGCTTATACAAAAGTTGTACTAAATCAAAGATTCAATGCATGGGGACACTAATTTGAGATTCATTGAACCTAGTCTAAATTTCATGTGAGACAAAACTAGATTACTATCAGCTCTTGGGATTTTTGAGTGAAATCATCACACACAGCCGCCAGTTTTTCACAATGCATGAGAGAAAAAACACTACGAGAGGAGCATGGATTTGGATAAAAAGTAGTATGAGACGTACCAATTTGGACTTCCTTTTTTGTTGAGATTATTAGGATATTCGTAAATTGAATTGAATTTTTATTTTATTTTATTTTCTATACCATGGTATTGATTGAATTTGTTATGAGGTAAAAAATTATTTTTATTTAATCAATCACTTCAAAAAAAAAAATCTTAGTTATCTAACTAATATGAGCTTCAAATCAAATCAAATTACCCAATCCAATTTATTTTGATTTAATTTGACTTTTTTGGGTTTTCAAAAAGAGTTAAATTAAAAATTTCTTTCTCATAAATTATATATATATATATATATATATATTAATCCAACATTAAGTATCGTATTTAACATAGGTCGACCTAGTATAATCAAACGGATGAAAATAAATTAGATGGGTTCGGATTTAAAAATTGAAAATTCAATCAATTTATATTGAAATTTCATATTTTAATTTTTACGAATTGAATCTAATCTATCGATTTAATTAAATGAATAGTATATTATATTAGTATTTATTATTATTAGGAGACTTAGTTTATGTTGTAAAATTTAAACTTTTAGTATAAAAAATAAACTCATTCAATAAATAAGAATTTATGAATGACTTGTTTTATAATATTGGCTTAACGAAAAATTTTACTTTGGAGTTTGTAATGTTGTTTAGCATGTTGTATTTGTAAATTTTGTTTTAAACTTGTAATGTTATTGACACATGAGAAAAGTATATTTGCTTATTGATTTGACTTTTAAAATAATTATTGTAGAAATAAACAAATTACCATTCAAGATAATTTGTGGTTAGAAATTTTTTGAATAAAAATAATTTGTAGTATATATATATTTTTTGGTGTCCACAATTTTGTACCTATTTTGTCTCTTTTTTTAATATTTTTGTTTAGTTATTTTTTTCTTTCCTTTTTTGTACTTGACCTTAACTCTTTAAATAACATCCAATACATTTAATATTTATTTCCTTCTAAATAATAGTGATTCATTTATGCGGCGAGAAGTGAAGAATAAGATTAGATCTATTCCTAATTGGATGACGCTTAATAGAAGCTAGCTTGTTGGTGTACGTAACTAAGTTAATAGAAGGCATAGAATGAAAGTGAACTTGGACGGTTTAGCCGCTGGGTTCAACCAATAAGGTGGTGATTTGGACCACATTCATTTATCCTGCAAATAAACTAAATATTTTCCATTGGTACAAGTTACAAGTCAAGTTAGGTGTATAAATAAGGGTCGTTTCCCTTTTCTCATGTGTGCATCATGGGAAGGAATATTCCGGTGAGGTTTCCGAGGGTAGCGGCAGCCTTCGACGCTGATGTGGCACGCACGAGGCTCTGCGGGAGCACAGAGAGTGACTCGCTCCGAGGCTCAGCTGATTTGTCAGATCTTGTGAATTCCTTCATGGAGGAGAGAGAGGAAGAAGGAGAACAGCATCTTGTTGGAAATGATTCCTATCAAAAAGTTTCCAACAAGAGGGAGATGTTGAAGGAAATATTCGTCCAAGGTGGGGATGCCAAACAAACTATTATTAAACAAGTTCAACTTGCATGGAGACTTCTTGACCTAAACCAAAAATCATCCCAATTCAAACGTCAATTCATGTCTCACCTCAGAGAGAGAGGCTTTGATGCTGGTCACTACTCATCACCCAATTCACTCATCATATTTTCTCTATTCATATGCCAAATTACTAATTCTATGCTTTTCTTAAAGTTTGTTAATTTATGCCAAATTATTAATATGCGCTGATTATTCTTACTTTTATGCATAGGTCTTTGCAAATGCAAGTGGGAGAAAAATACAAGATTTCCGGCTGGTGACTACGAGTACATAGACGTCAATTTTGCAGGAAACCGCTACATTGTTCAAGTTTCCCTTGTCTCAGAATTCGAAATAGCTCGTCCCACAAACCAATATTCTTCGTTACTTGATGTTTTTCCTCCAATATTTGTTGGTAAATTGGAAGAGCTGAAGCAGGTTGTGAGGCTAATGTGCACTGCTATTAAGGGCTCTATGAAAACCATGGAAATGTATATACCTCCGTGGAGAAGAATTGGGTACATGCAAGCTAAGTGGTTTAGTGCTTACGAAAGAACAACTGACGAGGTTGTAACTAAAATGACATCATCACCTTTTTCCACTGCAAGGTCCATTGAATTTGATGCAAGACCAGTGAAATCCTACAATTGTAGGGATGATTATGGGAGTAAGCCTCCATTTAATGTTTGTCATTTGACTAGTGCATTTTGTACAGAAGGCCCTGGGATGCTATTATAGTCAAATATGTGCATCTAATTGTTTTTTTGGTGTCTGGTGTTGATAAATCTTTGTGTCAAATGCAATTAGCTCAGCGACCAAGAGTGCTAACCAGAAGTTCTAGTACAGTGTTCTGGCATAATTTTGTCTTTTTGGGTAGGGGATATACAATATCAGTCTGGTAGGAGATAATAATTAGTGAATACACTGTAAAGTGGATAATTAGTTCATTACGTGGTTGCTTCAAAATGTAATTTCTCTTCAAATGATAGAGGTGATGAATTGGTAGTGCTTCATTCATGCAAAAGCTGCTCAAAGCCTCAAACCAAGGTTTTGAAATTTTGAAAAACCAAATACACCTTATGTATACATTATTGATTTTGGATCCCCCCAAATACATATTCTATTTTGTTTCATAAATTAATGTACAAAAGAGAAGAAAAAAATTCTGATGATATTCCCTTCGTTTAGACTCAGAATATTAATTGGTGTGGCCTCTTCGTTCAACTAACAATAATAAAAGTATTTGTGGTCATCCTTGGGACATGCTGCCAAAAAATCAATGCAAATGCTTGGAAGATTTCAGGAAATCACAAAGACCCAAATGTTTGTTGTAACAGAAGGGTCTAAAAGAAAGCAAATTCTCTCTTCTGCCCTTCTCACCAAAAGCTCCAAAAGAGAAGACAAAATTGAATTTTTGAAGGGTCAGATGTAGAACAAAGAATAATAGTGATTTTATTTTATTTTATTTTTAATTTTTGATGACCAGAATAATAGTGATTTGAGTACAAATGAACTTGCGGGAGCAAATTGGTGTCAGAACCTATAACTTTACAAATTGGACCTTTGTCAGTTATAGTAGCCACAACTGGCCTCTGAACATTCTATTATAAAAAATAAAAAAGTATATTAATTTCTTTTACTAAATTTTTAATTTTTTTTATATCTCTTCTTTATTTTTATCTTATTTTTTAAAACTAAACATTTTAGCAAACAAGTCATTGAAGGAGGATGAAGTTAATTTACAGCAAGTTATCAAATCCTTAAATTAGGACTGCGTGACTGGAGTAAAATGAATGAAGTATTAAGTTTGAATTTTCATATCATTATAATATGTATGAATAATAATAAAATTTCTTGAATTAAATGTTTTTGTAAAGTATACTAGATAATTTGAATTTTGAATTTAAATTAAATGTATTTATAAAGTATACTAGATTTAAAAGATTTTATGAACATAAAAAATTTAACAGTAATTAATACTTCGATGATGTTTTCCTTAACATATTATTTAGTGGTGGAGTTTGAATAATATTTACAAAATTTTATACTCAAATATTGTCTTCATCATTTAAAATTTTGTATTCTTCCAGTATTAAAAAAATGTATTTTTTTTATTATAACATTATAGTAAAAAATAAATTTATCAAAATATTATATCCTAAAATATATTTATTAAAGTGTTATGTTTATTATTTATTATGTCGAGAAATTGGTTCTCTATTAACTAATTTTTCACCTAAATTTTTCATAACTTTTTTTTTTAATTTATATGTTGAGAAATTGGTTAATCACTAACTGATTTGTCAGGTTTTCTTTTACAATTTCATTTTTTATATAATATATACAGATTAAAATTAGTTAATATAAAAATTTATATTTTTTATTTTATACCTTAAAAGTTTTGTAAAAAAAATTATAATTAATTTTAAGATGTGTAATTTTATTACGTAATATAAATTAAAGAATACACATACAATATAAAAGAAAAATTTTAATTGCTAAATTACATGACTCAAAGTAATTAATTTTTTGACACATTAACATAAAGTAATTAATTCCTAATACACAAATAGTATTTACGAATCACAACAAAATGACAATCATGAAATACAAATATTCAGTATGTATTAAAATTCAACTTACAAACATTCTAAATAACAAGAATTATATATATCATTGTTGACTAATGTAAAATATAGTTGGAGCTATGATTGTTTAGCACACTGGTATAAGAAAATGTGTAGGATAATTTATTCGATGTCCAAAAAAAATGGGGGATGTACATCGCTACTTGGAAGTTCTTTTGAATGTTTGTAAGTTTAATTTTATTGTATATTGAATATTTGTATTTCATGGTCGCCATTTTTTTATTTTTATTTTGTTGTTATACGCATTACATATGCATTGGAGAATTAATTACTTTACAATAGTGTATCAAGAAATCAATTACTTTACATCATGCAATTGATCTTTTAAAATTATTCTTTTGATACCGCATGTATACTATTTAATGTATTGCATAATTAATTTATATATTTTTAAATTATTTATAATTTCTTCTTACAAATTTTTTAAGTTATAAAATAAAAATTATGAATTTATTTATATATTGACTAATTTTATATTAATTAGTTAAATAAAAATTATATTATATAAAAATAAAAATATTAAAAAAAGAAATTATAAAAGAAATTACATATGAGAAACTAGTTATTGGTTAACTAATTTCTCAATGCAAAAAAAAAAAAAAAAACTTAAGTGAGAAATTAGTTGGTGAAAAACTAATTTTTTAACATAAATAACTAATATATCACATTGGTAAATATATTTCAAAGTATGATATTTCAATAAATTTATTTTGTGAAACATTTATATTGAAACAATTTTTTGAAGTTTTACTTTTTATCTATACAATGTTCCAAAATTGATAACAAAAGACTAATGTATATTTGTGGGGTGTAACTTTCATTGATTAAGTATTATTTTAACACAAGTAAAAATTTCATGATGGACCTTATAATTACTAGATTAAGAGACTTAGTTTTCTTCTTTTTAAGTTTAATGCTTTGTTTGGGAGAAGAGAAACAATTGAATGAATGAAAGAGAATATGGAAGAATTAAGTTACTAAGAAATAATCAAAAAATAGTGTAAAATTTGTAATTTTTTTATAGTATGCAATTAGGTGAAAATTAAAAAAAAATATTTTAAAAATATATTCTACACAATTAAATTTGTATGTATAAAATATATTATTTAAACATTACATTTTTACCATTTACTAATTAACTATTTAAAAAATAGTATATAATTAATCTTATACATATATTTTTAGATAAAAAATTGACACAAATCTATTTTTAAAAGAGTAAAATTAAATACACATGAGTTTCATCATAATTTTCTTATATCTCCTCTAAAAACACATATTTATTTTAATTCCTTATAATCTTTTTTTTTGTTCATTCTCTATTAAATGACCTACAATTATAATTAAAAAAATGTAAGAATTTGTTAAATGAGGGGGTGTGCACATAAAAAGGAAAAAGTGTGGGAGAAATTGAGAAAAGTGAAGTCTGATTGAAGATGGAATGGAGGTGAGAGGAGATGAAAGGCAGTGTTGCGTTGACAATCACATTAAGTAGCGTCATTCTCTTTGTTCTCTTATTCCCTAAAACCCCCTCTCTTCTGGAATCACAGTCAAACTCAATGTCCAGAGCGCGAAGCTTTGTTCTGTGGCTTCACGGTTTGGGTGACTCTGGCCCCGCCAACGAACCCATCAAAACTTTATTCACTTCTCCCGAATTCGGAACCACCAAATGGTCCTTCCCTTCTGCCCCTTCCGCGCCCGTCACCTGCAATTGTATGTATTTACTATTTACCTTATCATCGCTGCTACCCACTTTCATTTCACATCTTATCTCGCCTTCTTCCTAGATCGCCAATGTTATGCACAAAATTGAACTTGTCATTTACTCAACTGTTATGCCCAATTGAAATTATATAAAGTAGAAGTCAAATCTCAACCCAATTTGACAGTATCATGTTAGGGCTTTTGCCCTATGTAACTGAGGTGCTTAGGATCTTACAATTCGTTTTTGTTTTTAGATATAATGCTATCAATGTGTCGTATGCTTTCCCACTATTTGTTTTTATTATACTCATTTTCTCTTTTTTGTAGATGGTTCTGTAATGCCTTCGTGGTTTGACATTCTCGAGATTCCTGTGACAGCTGTAAGTTTAGCTTTCTCTCCTCTCTTTGATCATTTCTTGTATAAGTACCATGACTTTGAATTTTAATGCTGTATGATCATTCTTGAAGGGAAAATAACAAACGATCCAACACACTATAGTTTTTATTTTTTTTTATTTTTTATTTTATTTTAGAATGTTATGGGCTTCTATACCTTTTCCCACATTTTCTGTGTTGCAAAGCGCTGTCAGAATGTAAATTAGAGTATGTATATTAAACTTGGTTGAATTATAATTTTACTTTTATTTACAAAATGTGAGTGACTGGGTTCAAATGTCCGTTTTGACATCGGGCATATTGTGTTGAATGCATCACTCTTTGTGTACATTTAGAATTTTACTCTAGTATGTCAGAATTTTTGACAGCGGATGATAGTTATGCTTAGCCTGTAATCTGATCAATTATGATGTCTTGTTATAAAATTTTCTCCTTATTTAATTGCCAATTTCTGTATGATGCAAGTTACACCCTTCTCTTATATATGGTGCACTGGTGTGCTTTCTTATCATCTGAACCATGAAAATTTCAGGTCAACAATCCAGGGATTATGAATTTATGAGCATGATCAATTTTATACAATAATTTTTATTGATAGCATCATATGTCACCATATCTTGTAACTGTCATGTGACAAGATTAAAATGTGTCTTTTCTTTTCTCTTCTTCCTTTTTATGTTTAGTTCAATCACTTTGATTAACTAAAAAACTTAGTTTGCTGGCTGAGCAACTTGAGTTAGGCAATATTATTATCTTGTTCAGGATGATGTAGTTGATCTAATCAATTTATGTTGAAAAATGCTTTGCTTATATTTGTCAGGATTCTCCAAATGACGAGAGTAGTTTACTTAAAGCTGTTCGAAATGTGCATGCTACTATAGACAAGGAAATAGCTGCTGGCGTAAACCCTAACAATGTATTTATTTGTGGATTCAGTCAAGGAGGTCTCTCTTTTATTTCCCATGTCCATATGAGTGTGTCAGTGCATGTGTTTGCATGTGTGTGTGCATTTCTCATCCTTCCCACCGTATCATTGATAGAAAAACATATGAATACAGTCTGCTGATGGTGACATTCTTTTGCAGGTGCCTTGACCTTGGCTAGTGTTCTACTGTACCCTAAAACTTTAGGTGGAGCTGCAGTCTTTAGTGGTTGGGTTCCATTCAATTCGTCTATTGCAGAACAAATTACACCCGAGGCAAAGCAGGTACTAATCTTCAATAATAGTAGTAGTATTCACCAGCTTAATATTTTTTCTCTCATGTTTATTATTTGTCAAGCTTAGCTATTTTTCATTTATTTTCTTCTTATCGTTTGGATGGGAGAATAAAAGGGTTGCCGCAACCAACTTGGATCCATACTAACCGCCTCTTGGATCCAAGGTATTTGATGTATGTCCAAACAAAAGTGCACCGACCCAACATAGAAGACTACATCCATGGCTTTATATACAAAGAACAGCTTAGATTTCTATTTTCATCCAGTGTCAAGCATGGATGCCAGCTATGTTGGTTTTCCTAATCGGGGCATGTGGTTGTTGATATTCAATATTCCTAGGAACAATGACGCTCGACAGTCTTTAACTGTTAGTCATTTGAATTTAGAATAAATTTCATGTGTGTCATGAGCCTAACTCTAGAATAACACAGTATCAATCCATGGGGGTATTTTTAATGTGAAAATACATTAATATAATTTGAGAATTATTAACAACACGTTCCTTCTAATATATTCTCTTCTATTGATTGAAAATTAAAAAATCAGGAGAGGTTCATTAAACAGGATGTGAGACCTACAAAATTGTGATTTTCAGTTAATTTCAACTGATAAGAAAAAGTGTGTTAGAGAATGTTTTCCTACTTTCTAGCATTTTTCATTTTGAGGAGTGTTATAGAGCCTGTCCTAATAATATTTGACTCAACTGAATTTTACCGTATGCAGTTGTAATCTGTTTTATTTCTGTTTACCTGTTATATATAAATCTCTACAGACACCCATACTATGGTCCCATGGGCTGGTTGATAGAACGGTATTGTTTGAGGCCGGACAAGCAGGTCCCCCCTTCCTTGAAAAACTTGGTGTTAGATGCGAGTTTAAGGTAAATTCTAATTTTTCAATAATTCGGTTATTTATCCAATAACTCCTTTTTTGTCGTCCCTCATCGACATTGACATTTGTTGTATTGGTAGGCTTATCCTGGTCTTGCCCACTCGATAAATAATGAGGAGCTGCGGTATCTCGAGTCATGGATCAAGGCACGCCTACAGAGTTCTTCGCAATAATTATTTCAACCTGGAAAATATATTCTAAATATATGCTTGTACTTGCGTAGACCCCACGATCAGTTTATTTATTTTCGTTTTATTCATGGTAATGTTTAACAGGAGAAATGTTCAATATATGCTTGTACTCTTAACATATGTTCAATGTTTTACATCGCAGTTTGGAGAAGTTACTCTCTGCAATTTCAATAATTCATGTTAAATACACATGCCTCATGTAATATACCAAATGCACAACCAAATACACACTTATTATTGTTTAGATTCATACTAGAGATCACTTAAAATTCTGTTGAAATAGCGATTTAATGTAAACAATTGCATATTTGGTCCTACATTAAGGAATTGACTATAGGTCTAAAAATCATCGAGTTAAAGCAATTTTTAAGTAAACCTTGCATTAAACAAAAAAAAATTGTATTAAATTTTATGACATATTTAATCAAACCGTTTTACTTTTAAATCAATTTTAACTCAAATTAATTTTGGAAACTCTTAAATGCCTAGTATCTTCTTTCCATCAGTGGAACATACTGATAGCTTTTCAGCATTTTTGGAAACGTTATACATTGATGTAGAAGACACAAAAGTTAGACCTATTAGCATTCATTTTGATGTAAAAAAATCTCTTCTTCCAAGCATGCATTTCAGTATTATCTTCCCACTTTTTTGTTCTCGTCTGTCTTTACTATTTGTCTTAATTTACTAGTAACTTGTAAGTTAGAGATTTTTGCTTTTTACATAATTATTATTTATGAAAACATGGGTAATAATGATTATGGCCATGAATGGATTGGGGACATGTTATCTCCGAGTTGAAATTTAGCGTAAATGTTGGAATTTGCAACTTTTTTGACTTTAGACAGGTGTGACGATGAATAATTCACCGCAAAAATGCGATGCCGTGTGGTAAAAACAGTCGATTGTCTAAATTTCCTTTTTGAGCTGAGGAAACAGCCCCACCTAAAAAAAGCACATAGTGTTTACTCCCTGCATCCGGTGGTCGAATGATTTTCTTCCCAAGCAACTATGTAACTAAGCTTATGCAGCATTTTTTTCTGCGTCTTTTCTATGCTGGGACCAATTCATATGCCAATTATATTGTTATTGGCTGTACCAAACTATCTTTACTAGGATGCTTATCGCCCTTGACCAAACTCTTATTTTAAAACTCCTTGTAACGAGTAATTACTAGGGAATTCTATGGACCACATCATATCTAATTACAATCTCTATATAACACATAATCAAATATTTTTTTTATAAATTAAAAAACTTAGATAGTAATATTTGATCTAGGAACTCAATCTTCTTTAAGCCAATATTTATAGCATAGAGAATATACATTAACGAAACCCCAAGCGCCAAATTTTACGATATACTATCTAGCATTGGAGTTGAGCTAGTTTTGATTTTGTTGCTGTTGCCTTTAACTCGAAACGCTAAGAACCTGTCTCGTGAGTGCTGTCCCTAGTGGGTTGTGTTACCTTTCTTCCTTCTCATTTTCCGTCTTTTGTTTTGTATACTTGGGCCAAAGCCAATCTAGTTTGAGGATTGTACGTTGTGGGCACTAGATGGATTGGGCAGGAGGGGCTCACTAGTTGGGATAATGAAGACAGATGAAGTACCTGACACATATGAAGCAACCAAATGTTCAACGTCAGAAGTGCATCTTATGGCAATAATGTTGCGAGCATCCAATGCCTTTTAAGCACACATAATTTACGGTGGTCGCTCTCTCACTCATAAAACTCTAAACTCCACCGCTGCTTAACTCTTAATAGTTTCATTCTGCCAAAAAAGTGCATGTGTGGACTTGTAGTAATCAACCATGTTTCATGTTTGCCCCGTCCCCACTTATTATATTCTAAAACTGCCACTTGAATCATCACCCTTTCGGAGCTTTACATGATAATTGATAATGCTAACAACTTTATGTTTCTTGTATTTTAACTAATAACCACAAACTTCTAAATTTTGTTAGGTTGAGTTCAAAAAGACTCGTAGAAAATTTTGTTTCGTACACTAAAAAACTCGGCACTAAATTTTTTCAGCTATTTTTTATTTATAATTTAATCTCTCATAGATACAAGTACAACGCTGGTCATATTATGTTCGGAGACGCTGAATGTAAATTTCGTCGACCAAATTGGTCACATTACGTGATGTTTGCATTACCCATCAATTGTATGACTTCATGTACAGTGATAATATGTTCATCAATGTTTTAAATACTCTTAAAAAAAAAAGTCTCCATTTTCTACGTGAACAATAACCTCTTAACTCACGCCAAAAAGTAACCAATTTATAAATTTGAAGCAATAGGGGCAGTATTATTTTACTTTACCCGGTAAAAATCAACATAATAGGAAGAAAGTTAGAGATAATAAGACGTAAATAATAACTTAATGATATAATAATATTAAAAAAAAAAGTGGGAACATCCTGACTTAGTACAAGTCCATCTCCAAGGTCAAGTAATTTAAATTTTTCAGTTGATCAAATACTAGCTTTATAAATTATAAACATAGAGAGAAAGACTAAAAAAAAATACTATTTATTTGGTTTAAATAAAAACTAGTGCTTCATACGTATATTATGCCAAAAGTACAAAGATACATTTTATCGTAGTCGGATTTATAAACCATATTTCATGGTTTATAAATTTATGAAATACAATTAAACAATGATTCAATATTATTTTTTTTTTATCGAATTAATAATATTATTATCAACTCCTGTTTAATGCATTTATTTAAGAGATGTTGTCTAATAAAAACAACAAAGTAAAATAATGGCGATTATGAAAATATAACTTAATATACTCTCAAATTATATTTTTCAATACCAATATTGGAGAAAGATTATATAGGGAATATTCAAGAAAAAAAATATGAGTATAAAATATTTAATTACAATAATTTAATTCAAGAAAAAATATTTAGTTAAGATAATTTAACTCTTAAATAAATTTTATTTTTGGTATTGACTTCAAAATATATTTTAACTTGTAATATAAATATTTATTAATATGATTTTGTTTTCACTATGTAAGATTCAAATAAAATTATGTTATTCAAAAATATATTGTTTTTGGGCACAATCACCCACGAGTCAACGAATCTGTCGCTGCGTTTTCTAGACGTTGATTTGAATTTCAATGTAAACAATTTCATATTCTTTCCCATTTTACGCTTTTCTCCGGCTTGTGACAACAGAGGGGAAAAGAAAAAAATAATAAAATAAAGAAACATAATTTTATATTTATTTTTATTCATAGGAAATTTTATATTCCAAATTTATTTCCTCTTTCTAATTGAAACACATGTATATACAGTATTTGATTCTGATTTTGAATTTTGAATTTTTCATGCATACTGCTTGGTCATGGTCAACTGCAAGCATTGAGAATCGAAAATTTCTTTATATGCACCAATTGAAAATTTGAACCAATACTTCAAAAATATAACTTTGTGTTACATCTTGTTGGTATAATATAGTTATTCTTTGAGTATTAGCAACAAGTACTTTTAGAATATTAATTGAAATATTTTAATTAAAAATTATGATAAAACATATTAATAACATATTTATATTTTTTAACTACTTAATTTAAGCGGTAAAAAAACTACTTAATTAAGAACTCGAAAACAGTCATTAATTTGAAAAATTAACTTTTAAACAGAAAAGTTTGCATGTGGCTGTACAAACGTCAAATTCAATAAATAAAATGTGTTATTTTTGTGGCATTGAAATCAATAAGAGATTCCCATGATGAACCCCAAAAAAGTATAATGTGGTCATTTACTTAACACAAAGTTTTAACCATATCATTTATTTCTTTATCAAATAATACATTGTTTATTTCTTTATTATAAATATGCATCTTCATTTGAAACTAATAATATTTTTAAGAGATGTTTTCATTTTCAATAAAAATGTAACTTTTCTCTATATTAAGCTTAATTTAAATTTAAATTTTTTAAAATTATTTCTTAGTTTTAATTTTATTTGACCTATCGACATGTATTTTATCTTTAAATAAAATAAATGTAATGTTATTGTAACGTAATCTATATAATAAAGATATTGTGTCTAGATTTTAATAATTTATTTTCATAATTTTATTCAATTTTAAAAGTCTTTATTTCTTTAAAATTTTATTTAATATAATAAAATATTAATTATTATCAATAAAAACTCCCATTTTCTTTTTTATAAATGTCATTTAAATGTAAAATTATTTCTAAGTGAGAGAAAATTTTATTAATTTTCGTAGAACTTTCAAGTTGTACCGTCCGCTTAGCATATTCCTGTATTAGTATATCATACGTATGGGATTAGCATTAGCATGTATTCCTGTTTAAGTAAATATTACGAGGGACCCATTGACCCAAGGCCAACAGTGCAGAGTGCAGAGTGCAGAGTGAAGAAGAAATCAGAAGCGTGAAATGGTATAGGGAGCATGTCCCGCGATGCAGTGGAACCCAGCCCACATGTAGGAACTTGAATTGAAAGTTGAAACATTTTCATATTCATATTCTCTCTCAACTCTCAACTCTAAACACAGAATCAGAATAATAATAAAAGGTGTTGAACCCTTGAAAGTTGAAAGCCCAAACTTTTCTTCTTCCTCTTCCTCAGCCATGAAGAAGCTCTACCGTAACCGGAAAGGAACCGTCCACCCTTCGCCGCCCACCATCTCCGACCACCTCTCCTTCCTCCCCGCGGCCATCCTCGCCCTCACCCTCTCCCTCTCCCAGGACGACCGCGAAGTCCTCGCCTACCTCATCTCCGGCAACCCTCGCCAGAACCCTAAGCTCGCCGTGGAGGCCGCCGATCATCCTCCTCTCTTCGACTGCAGCTGCTTCCGTTGCTACATGAGCTACTGGGTCCGCTGGAACTCCTCCCCCAACCACCAACTCATACACCAAATCATCGACGCTTTTGAAGACTCTCTCGCACGCTCCTCCTCCAAGCCCTCCAAAAAGGATAAGAGAAACAAGAGAGCTTCCAGGCCCAAGTCTCCCCCCTCGCCGCCCCCATCGCCGCCGGAGAGTGTCGCTGCCTCCCACGATGCTGACGTTCCTCATGTGGGGGAGGATCCGGAGAAAGGCTCTGTCAGAAGGTTTGTTAGTTTCATTGGAGAAAGGATTTGGGGTGCTTGGGCTCAGTGAGGAAGCCTCGCTAATTTAATCTCTCCCCTTTCTTCCTCTCTTTTCTTTCTTTTATTTTTAAAAAACTTCTTTTTGTACATTAATCACTTCTCTGCAATGTATACAAAAACGAATGCCAGCTCCGTTTTTGCTTTCCATGGAATTACTTTTTTATAGTTTCACTTGTTTTTACTTTTTAGGGTTTTCATCTCAATACGTTTCAATTTAAATCTCACTTGTTTGAGCTGCTGAAGAATGGGAAAAGAAAAAAAAAACTTTTTTAGACATACACGATAATATTGGTTTGTAAGGTTAAGATGGATTCTGATTTTGCGATTTCCAGAACTTTGTCCCGTTGTTAAGTTTGACGCCGTTAACGCTTGTTGAATGGCGTCCTTTGTTTTTTCAAAGGAGGTCTTGAGTTTTCTTTTTCCACGAAGAAACATAGTTAAGGCAATACACAAAAGATGTCTGGGAAACTTAAGCTATTATTGTTGTCCTTTTTATTTATTTTTTCTCGTTTCCAAATGGTGGGCCTGGTTGTATATGATTCATTTCTTTCTTTTTTTATTCTTTCTTATAAAAATGATGATTAGCTATTTCTATATCTTTTATCGCCAAGGTTTTATTTATGGAAGCGAGTTATAGAACCTTTAGAAAGAAACATAACTATAGTGGCCTTTATTTACATTCCTTGTATTGTATATATAGGGAATTGATAATTGTTTTATTCCTTGGATGCCACTTGCTAGAGTTTTAGAAGAGGCAAAAGAAAAGTGGGTGTAGTAGGATTTCGTCGTTATTTAATGGTACGAGCTCTTTCACTACGGTTATTTTATGGTAATTTTAATATAATAGCGAGTAAAAGACGTTGGTAAGATTTGTGGTGGAAGATTTAAAAGCAGCGCGGTACAAAATAATTGGGCGATTATGTCAAGGTTGCAGTGGCTACCGGTGAAACACGAAAGCCGGTTATTGGTCGGTTTGAGTTGGATACCAAAACTACCCTCTGTCTGTTGTGGAGTTGATGGAAGAGAGAAGGGTAATATGGGAAAAGTGATTTAAGGTTATTGGAGAGGGTAGGTGTCACGGAGAACGAGGTCGGCGAAAGCAATGGCTTGGCTTCGATTAAAGCAAAAGTTGCAGATAAAGACTAATGCCAATGCCAATGCCAATGCCACTCTCTCTCCAAACTCCTTCTTCCTTCTTCTCCAATTTAGTCTCCCAAACCAAATGTTTCAAGTCTGCATACCACTTTTTTAATTATCTATGTCAAGCACTATTTCATATTCTTATATTATAATATGAAATGGTATTATGGAATTCAATTGGTTCATGTTAATATATTTAAATTCATTTTTTCTGCATCTTACATTTTTAATTTATAATATTCTCTTTCTTCCGTTGTTTAATTAAATGCCTCCAGGATATATATTAGCAAAAAAATATTACTGTACACGTAAAGTTTAGTCGATGGATTAGTTGTTAAAATTATTATTATTATTATCCATCCATGATCTATGTCGCAACAAAGATTGTTTATCATATCGTATGTCACGTTTTGATGAGATGAGGTATTTTTCATGTAGCTTGCAACTTGTACTAAAATTTGTTGCAATATTCATTGATGGTCCCAAAACAACCCTCTTATGTATTATATATATTGTTAATTTATATTTAAATGTCAAAATTAAAAGAAAATATGACTTTCTAAAAGATTAATTAATCATTCACTAACTTATAGTTGTAGTGTCCAATAATTAACGAATTATAGTTATTTCGTTAAAGATAGTTGCATTCAAAAATGCATATACGACGGCACATTTACAGTTGCAACTTGTAATCCATCAATTGTCGAGATGATTCATTATTTCATTTATATGTATGTTTTTCATTTTAAATAAAAAATTTAATTAGAATACATTAATAGTATTGCTGGTGCATAGGTAGTGATGTTTCTTAAGTGTGTTAAAGGTAGTGTTGTGTTGTGCAATTTTGTTTTGAATGATTAAAGTGAGGATTTTGTCATGTAAAGAGAGTGAGAGAAAAGTACAATTACAAAGTGTGTGATTTGAAAAAAGCACATCAGGCAGGATATAATAAAATTGAGTAAGAAGTCAAATATGAAGAAATTTAAGTTTTGATTTCTTGGCATCGAAAGATTTTGACGTGACAACATGAGTTACTTGAACAAGAGAAAAAGTTACTTCTTCAAACAACTATTTCTTACCAGATTTTAAATAGATCTTATTGAACATATTTGGAAACGTTTCATAAATAATAATAATGAAAATTAATTTCGTATAATATTTATGTATTTACTATTATTTTATTTTATTTTTAATATTTATTTATTGTGTATTTTTTCTCGTAATTTTTTTTTATTGTAGTGCAATTATTTTTTTTAATAAAAATTTAAATTTGATTCATAAATGATTAGAAAAAAGATTCTAAAAGTTGAATTTCTTAAAGTTTCTTATCATAAGAGTAAATTTGTATTTGAGTTGCTTAATGCTGACATGGCACACTGAAGACCACTTTTTCAATTTTTAATGCATGAAGCAACTCAAATGAGTTGCTTCCATTGAAAATGCCCTTAGATTCTTTTAAAATCATATTAATTCTCTTAAAAATGCTCATAAGTTTAAATTGTTTACTTTAAATCGGTCGCAAACATGTTATAAGATGATACTTATATTAATAATTTATTTTTCATAACAATACTATTATCTTATAAAGAATTGTGTGACACTTAAATAAATAAATAAATAAAATATTTAAAAATTAGATGGAAATATATGTATCATTTATAAAGATATCTAATTTTTCTAAATGAGTATCATTTTAATTTTTTAATATAATATCAATTCATTTTTTATTTATATTTATAATAATACAGAATATTTAAAAAATTATTATTGTGTTGCATATTTTTATAGAAGGAAGAGGTAGAAGTTTGAAAATACCTATTCACATTTTTTTTCTTTTTATGTGACAACTTTTTACTATTTTAGTACTTTATTCTCTAACAAGTGAAAAATTATTTTCATTCCATTACAAGTAAAATTTTATTAGCATTAGATAAAAGCAATTTTCGGAACTTTGCAACTCTATTTTCAATTTTTTTATATAGAAATTTTATAAGACAGTTGTGTATAACTTTTACAAAAGATTGCTTGGATGGTTAATAAAACAAAATAAAAAGTTGGTGTAAAAAAAAGATATTTTTGGTTTATGTATTTTTATAAATATGTAATTTTAGTTTCTCTAATTCATAATATAAAATCCGTTGCATTTAATCATTCAATGTAAAATTGTTTTTCTTTAAAAAATTACTTGTACACAATTTTAAAATGTGCCTGGCCATAATAATTATTTATATCAAATTCATTCATTAATCTTTCCCGGCGGTTCCCTTATCCTTATTCTAATAAAAAGAACACCTTTTTTTTTTCCGTCTCTTAATAAAGTGACACTTAGTTATGGCGCTTCCAATATTATATGCTATTGTGGAAAGAAAGGTGAAGAAAATTAAGTACAAAAAGTTTATATTTAACTATGAGCTTCAAACTGAGTAAAGGTAGGTTATTTGTTGTTTTTAATTTTAGTAGAAAATGGGTGGGGATGAGATCCAATGAAGAAACACATTTAAGTCAGATTTTCCAGTATTAGTGTTTGATCAACTCTGCCAACTTTTAAAAAAGTGTCTAGTGGTGAAGCTTCTAGGCAAAAGATTGAACTCAAGGACGTGAATAATGGCTACTATATATCAGTATCTGGTAAGCTTTGATTTGGAAGAAGATTGCAATAATTGTGGGAAGTTTTGCTTAAATAGGAAGTGGTACAATGTTGAATACGAGGGTGTTCACATGCTATGTTCTAATTGTGGCTGCTAAAGTGGAACGTTGTTTGGAGGTAATAGAGACGGTTCATAAGACATCTTTCTTTGCATGCTCTGAAGGAACTTTTGCATGAAGTGAAACAACTATTATCTACATCTTGGAGAGTATATATATCTCACTCACATCCACCGTCAACTCAACATTAAATTATATATTATGATCACCATGCAAGGTAAGATTTTTTATTTTTGAAATAAAGATTTTAAAATTATATTTAATGTAATATCTAATTAATTGTCGGTATAAGTTTTTTACGCGAATTAACTATTTAAAAATTATGAAACTATCTAAAAGGTATTCAGATTATTTTTTTCCTATGTTACCATTTGTGTGAAAATTTCAGACAAAAAATGTTTACCACTAAAGACTAAGACTATCCATTAATAGTCTCATCCACAATATATAAAAAAAAACTGTAATCTAATTACTTTGCTCTCCCGATTTCATCCCGTAAAGTTAAAGCTCATCTAACCTCCAAGTTTTATGACATCTTTAAATTATTTTCCTTGTCTTAGTAAAGGAAAAAGAAAACGGTAAAAATACATGAAGATTATACTTGTTAGCATATATTATTGACTATTCTATTGTGTAAAAAAAGACATATTATTGACTAAAGTTTATTTAAAATTATTAAATCAATAAATATTTATTAAATAAAAAATGAAAAATATATTTTAATAAACTTCAATCGTTAAAATAAAAATATTTAAAAAAGTGTATTAGAGAATATATTATCAGTATTAATTTCTCAAAAAAAGGAAAAATTAACTAATTAAAAATAAGAGTATAATTTTGATATATTAAAATTAACAGTATATTATTTTGATATACAGTATTAGTATAAATATTTTTCATTGTTAATAAATTAAAATTCATTCTAAACATATTTATTAAAATAATTATAAAAGCCAACTATTTCATTACTTATAGATGATAGTTTATCATAGTTCAAGATTGGATAATAATTATAAAAATAAAAGCAATATTCTGAAAAGAGAAAAAAGTTGAGAGTTTTTTTTTAATAAATTAATTCGTTCAATTTATTTTAGATTATTTGAGTTTCAAATAATGAGAATTCCATCAACAACACAAACACTGGTTTTGGGATTAGATTTAGAGGGTATTTAAGGGGAGGGAGATGAATTGGAGCGGGTGAATTTGTATGGAAGGTGGGTTTCTCGGGTTGAAAAATAATCTTCTAAAATGAGAGGATTGTTGTGGAAATTTATGGCAAAGACAAAAATAACTATCTAACACTCTGTTACTAAAATAGTCTTTATTTGATTCTTCTAAAAGTACAAATAAAAAATGGGTCTCAACATATTTTATTTTCTGAGATACTAATTTAATAAAAAAATAAATTGAAAGATAAAATTGAAGCTGAAAAATTTAGAGAAATTAAAAATAGCTTTTACCCATAAAAACATTAAACCTTATTTTAAAAATAGATAATTAGATATAATAAATTTATAAAAATTTCTAAAACCTTTTTCATTAAAAAAGCTTGAGATCCCTTTCGTTGGAGAGAAACTCAAAAAAATGTTGTGATTATTGAATATATTAATATAATATTTTCGATAATGGTAAGATAGACATAGTCACAATCACGCGCGTTAAGCATTCTCCGCGCAGGATTGATATTTGTTCTTCTGCGTGACTGATGCTATAATGTAACATGGAATTTATTTTTATTTTTATTTTTATTTCTTTTTCTTTCTAAATGGTGACAAGTTGATAACGAGAAAAGGACGAAATGTAGTGGGCTTAGGTATTGAGTCCGCTCTATCTTCTCACTAAGTCCTCAACTATGATTATGATGCTCCGATTAATAAAGCTATATAATTACGAAATAATACAACAATAACGGAAGTTTCATTTTAGAGTTTCCAAACGAAGATTTAATTAATTTCAACTCTAATAAATTAAAATTATGATAAATTTTAAATTAAGTTAAATCTTTTTTAATTATTTTGTCATTATATGAGTTTATGCATAATAATATCATTCTTTGCGCATTACAAAAATAGTTAGTTTAGATAAAATATTGGAATTATTCACCCAAAAAAATATATAATGTTTGAAGTATTCGCCAAACAAAAAAAAAGAGATAAAATATTAGCACGTGTTTGCTTGCATTTACATTAAAAAGTCCATATTTATACTCATCCACACAGTAATAGAATCTTATATTTTTTTTAAATATTTATTTTTGTAACCACTTCACTGAAATGAAATTTTATATATAGTCATACTCATTTGTTTTATTAATAATTGTAATGTCGGGATATCTTGTAGTAGAAGTAATAAATGCATGAATGAGAGCGATGCCGGTCTAAAGTGATAGTGGCATCCTAATCCTAAGTCCTAAGTTGTGCGGTCAAATAATATTCTACTTTTAGAACATGGGCAATATTAGTTCCAGCCTTGATATAGGTGAATTATTACTTCATACATAGGCATAGGATAGCCGCTGACGAAAAAAAAACAAGAGTTCATAGCCGAAAGTTGCCTTCAATAGTCATTCCGGATAACAAGGAGGATGTTTGTTTGGGCACATGAAACCGCTAACAATAATCTCAACAATTAAATGATCCATGTTTGCTACTGCTAAGGATAACTTTCAAGTTTCAAGATACTGGACACTTTTAGTATGTTGCGGCACACATTTTCTATAGTCATGTGCCCCACCACCCAACAACTCACCATATTTTTTCATCCTTTATGTATACAGGATAAGAAGCACAGCCTCAAAGAAAGCGAACACAAAGGAAGGCGTGCATCTAGAGTAACAACCCACACTTCTGTGAGTCACTCACTACTACTTATGTTATTCATGAAATTATAATTGCAAATAACCAGGTACAAAACTTATTGACTCCATGCGGATCTTAAATTATTAACACAAAAATATCAACTGGGCTGACCTGACTGAGTGAATTCTACAAACAATATTGTGTAACACTTTCACAGTCTATTTTGCATTTAAAGTTGTACTGTAATTCGAATCTTACCCAATTCCTTCAATAACTATTGTAGAGAAAATTTAATAATTCACGACTAACTGTCAACACAAATTCACTAATTTGGCTACCTGATACTTCTAGTGCAATTTTTTTTTTAAATTTATTTATTTATATTATTTATATTTAGCTTGCAGGATGTTTAATTAAGGTGGAAATTAACTTCTAAGACATGGTTCCAAGTTCCCATTATAGTCTAGTTTTAATTTAAGACTAATGTCAGCATTTGAGGTGGGTGGAATTTACGTAATACAGTAATAGTTGGCAATGTATGTATTAATGAAGTTGTACTTGGCTTCTCAAGTTGTTTGGTGGATGGATGCTGTTGCTGGGTTTGGTTAACATCTGGTAGTTGGTGGTCGGTGAGCTTCATTCTTGTGCAAGCTAATTATATGTAATCGCACATTTTTTGCATGCACAACATAGTAGCATATAGTTGGAAGTGATAAATTCCACTGTGGTGTGTACTAGAGTTGCGTATGTTTGGAAAATAAGAGTTGCGCAGATGACATTATTGAGCTGTACCCGTTTTTAATGAAATAACTCATCCCTTAGACACAACTGAAAAAGGTACATGCAGTTACATAGTACAGTTGAAAGAACATGAAGCATGTGTAAATATATATATATATATATATATATATATATTCAAGTTATAGGAGCTTCATTGAATATGGAAGACAATAGAACAGCGATACCTTAGAGGGAATCAAGCCTGTACAGGTATGGAAGAGGTCATAGAGACGCAACCTTTTAAGCGTTCAATGATGACATTTTTGCTGACTAGACCAGAATGATGAGTCAGAGGTAAGCCCTCCTTCACACACTCATCGTACTTCTCCAGAGTGCACACAATGTCACTGAAATCTGGCCTCTTCGAAGGGTTTGCTGACCAACAACGCTTTATCAGATGTGCAAGTGCTGGTTGACAACTAGCAGGCAGTGGAGGCCTTTCATTCTGCTCAAATTCATTCTAATCAGTACTTATTTTAATAATATAATTATACCATACATTATGCTTACTTAAGGGGGAAATATTCCAAGTACTACAGATTAGTCACATATAGCCATATAGGCACCGTAATGAACAACTGTTTACTGCTATATTTTCAAACATATTGGGCCATTTAGGAAGTGTTTGTTGTTGGACTAAGGAGAGAATACGTTTTAGGCCCATCCATCCATGCTATTATCCATTATGGGGCTCAAATAAAGCCCCATTTTGGTCTGTGGATCCCCTCCCCAAAAAATTCTAGACCCATGAATTTGCATAAATTCCTACTTCCGACAATACTAATCAAAATTCTAAAGGAAGTTTTGACCAAAAAAAATTAAAGAATCTCAAAAGGAAGTTAGTACCATTCCTCACGTGGAGTGGTCAAATAATTCCAAGCTTTCATGGCTGGAAATGTGACAAGATGAAAGCAATCACTCGAAGTGTCTACAGGAAAATTGATGAGCAAGTAAACCTTGATAATGGGACTCAGATGATCTTGAAAAAACTATTGATGTAGCGGTTGCAATTTGTTGTTACCTTACCTTTATGTTTTACAGTTACAATAGCATGTTGCCAAATATTTTATATAAACATTCAAAAAGGTAGCCAACTATCCATGGCTCTGAAATAGAATAAGATTAAAACTCTAAAATCCATAACTAAACTCTGAACAAAGGTATTTATGGCTCTGAAACTATAGTGAGCCAATTGAAGGAAGCCAACACATTGCAAGTCAGTCGCCTATACTATTAACATTATTAAGTAAATACTGAGGATAAGCATTGCCATCTAAACCTCTTAACTGACACATATCTGTTAGTTGAGTATAAGATTCAAGAGTAGCTTTCAAAGCTGAGCATTGAATCGTTACATGATGTGTTGCCTAATCGTTAAATGAACATTGAATCGTGTCCTTCACCTTGTTTCAAAAAATGTGTTGCCTTGTTGCGTAGTTAAACCAAAGCCACTGGCAAAAGATATTTCCAAGACAAGAAGGTTATTATACCATTATCGTTAAATGATGAAAATTTCCAATATCTCGAAGTCAAGGCAACTAATTCTCTCGACCTTCTGTATATAAATTGAGCCACTTTTATATAAAATTTCGATTTAGTAATGGTGTTCCTTCATAATCTCATAAGGCTAACCAGATAAAGCAAAGCAAAATTGTATATAACTTGGTTCATCTAAGTTTAACTGCCCAGGAAATGTCCTTTTCCAATTGACAACATAACAACTTGCCATATATGGTCAACATGACCCTAATTATGGCCAGTGTTGAATTATATACCAGAATAATAGTTTTATTTATCACTAGGCATGAAGAAAATTGCTAATATTAGAGAACAGCAAGGGACAAGAGGCTATATGATACAAGTAAAAAAAAAAAAATTAAGCAGAGAACTATAAAAGTGATGCCGTATTATATATGTAAGCCTTTATTATGATAGTAAACATGACAATGATGACATATATAGCTTTAAATTTAGGTATAGGCATCTGACCTTCTCAGCAACAGCAAAAGCAGCTTGCACAGGAGTCATTCCTTGGAATGGAAGTAGAGCAGTTGTGAGTTCCCAAAGCACAATTCCAAAACTGTAGACGTCAACTTTACGAGTATAAGGTTTTTCCTTAATCATCTCTGGTGCCATCCAACGATATGTTCCCATGTTTCCCTTGGTCTCCCTACACCTTGTTTCAAGACACGATGTTCCAAAGTCTGCCACCTTAACCCTCATCTCATCATTGAGAAGCAAGTTATTTGACTTGAGATCTCTGTGAATCACACCTTGCGAATGAAGGTACTCCATACCCCTAGATATGTCAAGAGCTAACCTTAGTATAGTTTCTATTGAAAGAGAGTAAGGCTCTTTCTTGTTCAGATACATCCTCAGAGTTCCTTGTGACATGTATTCTGTTATGATACAGTATACTGGCGGTTTTTTACAAGCTGCAATAAACTGTAAATTAAGAGTCATGTAAACATCAGACCTTAGTCACCCTTTCATTATTCATGTATATAGAATAATTACGCACTCCCGTGCAGTTCAAAATACTCAATGCAATAAACTGTACTACATAAATATAGTACTATACATGTTGCATCCAGTAAAAATACATGGCAAAAGTCAAAAGGAAAGAAAAAGAAATTTAGAGCAAGTTGGTCTTGTTATTAAGGCAATTTATTAACTAAGATTTCATAAGTTCCTCCCTGCCCCCCATCATTCATGAAAACACTCCTCTTTTTTCATTTTTTCCCCACAAAAGTGGTAATTAAATGGAAGTGGCCAGTGGGTATTTATATATATAAAAAAAGAAGATCGAAGACCATACTTCTAAGATAGGTATTTTCGCCTTTTAAGATAAGGAGATCTTAAATACCAATATCCACTGGACAGATATTATTTAAGGTTATTACCCTGACATGAACATCTGACTATACTGTTAAAAGACATGATTATTTGCCAAGTCTTTTAGCATGTGGTGAGGATTTGATCTCAAGTACTTATGCATTAAAATTTTGAACTCTAAGACAGTTGAATTCGTGTTTTCCTTCAATTTCCAAACTGACACAAACAAAAAGCCTTAAAGCTAAACAAACAAAAATCATGGGGACAAGGTGAAGAAGGTACTTGTCTGTTCACAGGCTCACAGTTGAGTGGTAACAGTATAAGAGCTTAATTACCTGCACTATGTTAGGATGAAAGAGACTTGAAAGTAAAGCCACTTCAGACTTGAATTGCTGTTCAAGCAAGGCTCTTCTCTCCTCATCCTGTGTGGGAATCCTCACCATTTTGACAGCAACAGCTCTCTGCTTGTAAATTCCGCGGTAAATCCTGCTGTGAGCACCGGATGCAAACTTGTTACCTATGAAAAGTTGTGAAAGATCAGCGGTCCATTCTTCTTGATCCTCCTTTGATGCTTCCCATGTCTCCACATTCTCAGAATCCAATATCATGGACCATGATTCCAAGCTATCAAACCTTCTTCTCTCCATGTTCTCCAAGTCAGAATCTAACCGGGTCTTGGAAGATGAAGAGGGTTCTGGCAGAGGCTTACTCTTGAACCTCCTCAAACGAAGCACATGGAAACATGAGCCCCCCATTGAAGCTCTAGCAAAGTGCATGCCTCTCAAACTAAGATATCTAGTAAGTGAGTGAGTGATGCTTGCTTACTTGCTTTGCTTTGCTTATCAAAAGAGACTGTCAAAAGTATATTTTCTTCTGAACGTGTGAACCGATTTCAGGAAGTGCATAAACCGATTCCGAAACATAGGCTCCAACAAAAGATGAAGAAGGAGAAGAAGAAGAAGAAGAAGAATATGTGTCAAAATGATTCATTTAAGAATTCAGGGAATACCCTTTTGGTTTTGGCTTGTGAGAGAGGAAAAGAAAGACGTGTTCATGTCAGAGTCAAGCAATTGTCTTACTTGTTTTATCAACTCAAAGCTGTGACGAGTGAAGGATGGAAATTTTTACAACAGATAGGAATTGGAGACTAATCAGAGAGAGAGAGAGATGAAGGGAACGTTCATGAATGAAGATGAAAATTGTAAGGAGAAAGAGAAGAGAAGAAGCAGTTTTCACGGTTTCTTTGTCCTAATAGGACGGGTCAGGAGGATTAGGTCGTGTAGCAGCATAAAGATGAATTCAAAGGGTGAAGCTTCAAGGGTGTCTCGTGAGTGCTTGGTTCAAAAGTAGAGAGAGGGGCTTTTTGGTCGATTTAATTTAATTGAGCTACCTTGCTTTGCTTCTGCTTGGGTTTCTTTTCTTGCATTGCATGCATCATCACATCATCGTGGCCACAGTGCAAAGAATGGTAGATTTGAGCTTTGCGTTTTGCTCTTCCAACAAATTGTGTACTTTGCATTCTTTCTTCTCATAGTTTGGGATATGTCCCATATCCCATCCTTTAACAGTAGCACCAAAAAAGTCCTAGAATACATACATGTGGCACGTAACGTACCCAAAAGATAAAGGTTAAAGCGTACACAAGTGCCAAGTCAAGAACCGTTTGATCCAAATGCAAGTGATGATTAAACTGTTTGCTCAGAAAATGAACTTTTCTATGACGAGGTACTGAAAGGTACAGAAAGTGTAGTACCTTAATTGACGGATTTGGATGAACTATATTTGTAGTATTGGCAGACATTTCCTTTATTCGATCTGCGTTAATCAATAGAGCACTAAATAAGAAGATAACAATGTCAATTTGATCGAGGCAACATAATGTTCTTTAAGCATTTTAATTGTCGATCATTTAAGTTTATATTCCAATCCAAGCACTGCATTCAAATTTTGCAAAGCGGAGATTCTAAGCGTGGAATCGAAACTCTTAAAAAATAAAAAAATTGAAAAGCATGGAATCTGATTAAGATTAATGTGTAGAGAAATAAATTAGAACGAGTCTGGAAAACAAAACGTATATAGATGAAAGAATAAGGGAACATGGTAATTGGTAACCATACCAAACCCTCTATTTCACCATCCAATGCGTCATTCCGAATCTCCGATCTCTCAATATTGCCCAAAATAGTTTTATTCCAATCAACCTATAGCGACGACCACACCGTTGGCTGATGAATTTTCGTTATTTTGTTTATTTTTAATTAATATAAATTATCATTTTATTACTCTACTTATTATTTTATACTTATATTCACATATATGTAGAACTTCATTAAAATAATATTAAAGGTGAGGATGAGAATTGGGTATGTTTAGCATGCCAACTCATCCTTTCCAACAACGTTACACGTTATTAACTAATGCAAAATTTATAATTTCATATACCACTTTGCTATTTTGTTAATTTTAGGAAATAATTTGGCTAGACAGTATATTTTTAAAAACTAAATTAGTAATTCAATTAAAATTTAAAAACATTAGTTTTGAAAACGTACAAATTCTACTATCACTTTGTAAAAACCTACAAATGTTAAATTATTTTAGTTTTGGGGCCAAAATGTCTCCTTAGTCCATCATCTAATTTTTTAGTTTTAGTTTGATTTACTAAATTTGAAAAATTTTACTTTAGTATCACACATGGTTATGATTTGATTCATTCGATTACTAAGGTTGATTGTCCTTTGTTGATTATTAGATCAAAGACAAAAATAATTTTATACATGTAATGTGTATGTCTAATTGATTATCATTCATTCATATACTTAATGTGCTGACTCAATCTTTTTAACAAAGTCAAATAACATTAACTAATAGAAAGATTATATTAATTGAAGATATAGAATTCTTGTTTAGAGATCAAAATATCTGATCTTACAATTCATGGATTAAATTAGTGATTCACTCTTCAAAATTTTCAAGAATAAATTTGAGAGTTTATGTTGTTTCCTCCCTAAAAATGAGTGAGTATTAGCTTTTGGTTTTATTTACTCTTCAAATTTTACGAGGATAAATTATGTTTTATAATTACAATTTTATATTTTGCTAAATTGTTTAATTTTTGAATTAATTAATTTTTACAAAGTTAATCTTTAATAGCAAAAATAAATGGTTTTTTTAGGGGAGAAAAAATACATGGTTGACAAATTAATTTAGAACAAATATTATATGCATGGACAATATAAAGATTTTTTACATTGTGATTCTATCACAAATTATATATAATAAGTTTGTTGATTTTTATTCTAATCACTACAAAAGTCATGTAAAACATGAATTTTAATTGGTTGTATTTTTTTTATGCTAATAGTGTGTATATATTAAACACGTTAATTTATATATAATATTTTTTCAAAAAAAATATTTTAATATAATAAATATTTATTCAAAACTTGTCTTTTCAATAATTTTAAAAGTATTATGCCTACACAACGTGAATAAAAAAAATATAGGTAAAGAACAACAAAATATATGAAGTGAAACATTTTTTTTATTCTAAGATATGAAGTTGAATATGGTTCTCCAACAAAAATTCCATTTTAATTTAGACTTGATTAATCATTCTAATTTGGTGTCCTGAAAATTGAGATTTTTTTGTGGTTTATTTATCTGTGAAACGTGCTCCATAAAATATTGGATGAATAAGATGATGCTAAATTTATTTTCAAAGAGAAAGCTAGATGCTCGTTATAAATAATGGTGCACAAGGGGCAAACTGGTGACAATATTATCGATTAGATGATAATATATGTTGTGTGTATTCAATAACCTTTTGAGCATATCATTAATTCATTATTATCATATAATAATAAACATCTTACAAGATTGAGATGCCTTATGAGATTACCTAATGGCAACGTAAACATGAGAAAGCCTAATGACCACCCACCTTCCTTGCATAAAGCAAACTAAATCGATGGGATTTTAATTAAAATGTTAGGAAGTTGTTGTGAAGGCTTACATTTCTCTATTTCAGCCAAGGTGTGCAATGTCTACATATTTTCCGCTAAGAAACTAAGCAAATATTAAAACAGTAAAGAAAAATAAAAGAAAATAAAAATAATTAAATATGTTTTTTTATTTTTTTTTAACATTTTTCAAATTTTACTTTTCCTAAATAATTTTTTGACCCATCTTGGTCCTTGAATTTTTTTCCGTTATAATTTTTTTGGTTATGTTAATAAGTATCTTTGTTAAGTGATAATGTGATAGATAAAGTATAATTTTTTAAAAATCATATGTTGTCTTTCATTTTTAGCCTTCAAACAATTTTTTTTTGACTTATCTTAATCTCTTATCTCATCTTTTAATGAAATTTACTTTTAATCTCTCAATAAATTTTTATATAATTTTAGTCCTTCAAATATTATTTGTCATTTGTGACAACCATAGGAAAGGAGAAATTAAAATTGATTAATAAAATTTTTTTAAAAAGAAGTTAACTACTCTAAATTAGAAGCAGTACATTTTAAAACAAAAATATAATTATCATCAATAATTTAAAAATTAATCATTAAACTTTTAACAATTTCATGCTTTTTATAATAAGCATATTTATCACAATCTTAATCACTAACTCCTCTACCAAAAAAAAAAAATCTTAATCACTAACTTTTAATCAATAATTATAACCATACTATGTTTTTTAAAATTTTTGGCCATCCGTTAAAAAAACCTAAATCTTAAAAAAAAAAGTTATTGAAAGGAATATATAACACATTGCACTTGCAGTGAAGAAGTTCTCTTCAACAGTTCCGTGCCTTTTGAAATAGTGGTAGACAAATTCCCGTGAAGCGTGACTTGCCACTTGCCAGTTGCCAGTACCCAGTAGGGAACTTTCCGATAAATGCACGTGTTTGATACTTTTTCTTTTTCTACCATGTAATTCCCTCTTAATGTGCATAAGTTTCTTTCTTATCCCTTTTTAAAAGTGTTAATTCATAATTTCATTAGTAATCCGAACTTTCAGGAACTAGTTCAAAGAACTTTTTTATTATTTGTGAGGCCACTTGGCATCATTTATAATATTTAAGAAATTATTTATATAATTTTTTTACTTTAAAGATAAACATGATGGTTTATTCCCTTGGCTGTATTAAAAAGAGTTCATGACTGGTATTTAATCTAACAAGAACTTGAAATAAACACTGTTCCAACCCAGTAAATATATATCCACCGGGGCTTCAAGTATGTGTTGGGCTGGGCCCACAACAGATGAGATGACAGTAGAAGCTACAACCTGGAAGGCGTTCCCCCAGCAACCACTATGGTCTCTCCTGTTACATAAGCAGCATCATCAGATGCCAAAAAAGCTGTAGCAGCAGCCATGTCTTCTGTTGTACCAAGCCTACCAAGTAATGTCTCCGCTACTAGCTTGTTCCTCTGCAGTAACACAAACATCCAAATGACTAAATTTGCAATGAGGAGGGAAAAGGAAAAACATATTTGGGTCAAAACTACTCGCCAAAGCATCGTTAGTTGTAAGGAATGAAGCAAAGTTAGTAGGCACAAAACCAGGAGCAACACAATTTACACGAGTGTCTGGAGCCATCTCAGCAGCCAGGGCCTATGCAAAGGCAACATATTACAAATAATTAGCAAATAAAAAAAAAAAGATAATTAGCAGTTTATAATCTTTTGAAGGAACAGTTGCAAGTAAAGTACTAACTTTGGTAAGTCCAAGTAGAGCAGTTTTGGTCACTCCATACATAGCCAAAGAAGGTGGCGGGTTATAACCAGCAATTGAGGAAATGATAACGACAGAAGAACCCTTCTGCATCTGAGGCACTGCGTCCTGCACAAATCATAAAGTGGATAAGGATAACACATGGAGATGGAAGAAAAGGAAAATGCAGAAACATATATCAGATTCTTTCTTTCTTCTCTTTGTTTTGGCCATTCCACAGAGTTAATTAATTACCTTCAGAAGAAGTATGGTGGCTTTGACATTTATCTCCCATAGCTTGTCAAGGACCGAGTCTTTTGTTTGCAAAATGGAGTCAACGGAAGGATTTGCAGCAGCATTGGACACAACAACATCTATCTTTCCATACTTCTGTAACAAACCAGAATGTTCAACCACAAATTAGAACTGCGTTCAAATAGTTGGAAGGCCAGATTTCAATGTTATAGAAACTAATGTATTGAAGAAAAGAAAACCAAAGCCAAGTCTGGGTCTAGCCTCCTGATCAAGATAACAAATAATAACGGGGCATCAAGTTATATAGTTATAAATTATGCAATTTATAATAAATTTTAACTAAGGATAAATTAAATGGTGTGTTGCAAAGAATGGATTATAACTATTAAAAGTCACGAGTTTAAAGTCTTAAAAAAAAATAGATATGAAAATTAAAGGGATGTATTGAGGTTGGAGAAGATGATATGAATAAAATTGATAGTAACCTGCACAGTTTGGTCAATCAAATTCTTCCTTTGTTGAGCATTGGAAACATGGCAAACAAGCCCCGACGCTTCGATTCCTTTGGCCCTGAGTATTTCCACAGCCGCATCGACATTTTGCTGCGGATGATAGGAATATGAATGAATGAATGAATGTAGGGAGAGGGTTAATTTATGAAAGGAAGATAGAAAAGAGTGAACCTGTCTGCGAGAAGAGATGACGACAGATGCACCCTCGAGGCCAAGTCTCTCGGCGATGGCGAAGCCGATTCCCTGTGTGGAAGCGGTGACGATGGCCACCTTCCCTTCAAATCTCTTCGTCTTTACCATTTTTACTTTCGATGCAATCAAAGAAGACAACAACACTCTTCCCTTTTCTCCCCAACACTATTCGTTTCTCCCAAATGCACCTACCTTTATTTTCCCAACTAGTTTATACGTTTTATACAGGCTAAAACCCTATTTTGGTCTCTTATAATCTTTTTTTTATTTCAATTTAGTTCTTCATTAATTTTTTGTCTCAAATTGGTCCCAAATTAATTAATTGGTTTCAATTTAGTCCCAAATTAATTAATTAATTTCAATGTGGGACTTCCGTCCAAATTATTTAAACGGAGTTAACTTTTGGCCACGTGATGCCACGTAGATGCATACGTGGATGAGAAAATTCTTTTTAATACACCTGGACCCGGAACGGCCCGTTCTGAAACCGGAACAGGCCATTCTGGTTGCAAAATTAAAACACCATCAGTGAAGCAGAACTGGCCGTTCTGAAATCAGAACGGACCGTTTTGCTTTCAAAACGGGCCGTTCCAGAACTGTGAATAAAATATTCTTTACTTAATCGTGTTTTTGATATTATAATTATGCAATTTTGATCTCTAAGGTTTTAATTGAGTAATTTCAGTCCTTAAAAGATTATAATTGTGTAATTTTAGTCTCACAATTTTTAATTGAACAATTTTAATCTCTCAAATATCATAATTGTGGAATTTTAGTCTTTCTCATTAAAAATTTAATAATTTTAAAATTTTAATATATATATATATAATGTTTTAAAACTATATAATTGTTTGTTTATTTAAATTAACGTATATT